TCAACTAGAAATCACTGGTAGCATCAAAATGATGATGGATACATGGTCAGAGGATAAGAGTCACCTCAAAGTACAGGAACACTTTCTTGAGCTCTGTGAGCACAGGGGGATGTGCCTATACTACGTCTGATACATTCTTTTTTAAAAAGTCATTCAACTGTAGATACTTCTCTCTTAGAAAGGAGAAGATGAGGGGCAGCTCAAAAGAGAAAGCGGGGGGAAAAAAAAAAAACACCTTCAGGAAATGACTGAAAAGAACTAAATTTGTGAAGCTCAAAAAACTGATGACTAAGTGGGAACATCATAACAGCCCACAAATATCTCCAAGGTGTAAAGCTGGGAAGGAAATTTGAGGATGGCCCAAAGGAAGAGCAAACCCGGCTAGAGAGTCTCACGTGAATGCACCCTCCGCAAGCCTCCAGATTTTTCCAACATACCAGACGCAGTGATGATCCATCCTCCTCACACAGACGCCGCAGATCCGGCAGTGCCAGGCCCGGGCTGGCCGCACCAGCCGGCACTTGGCGCACCAGTCCTCCTTCCCCGTGGCGGGGCTTCCAGCCAACGTCCTGGGGCAGCCCTTAGGCTCATCCTTGGGCCCGCGGTTGTTGAGACCGCCCGCTGGGTCTGCGCCGGGGAACCCTTTGGGCTTCTCCGGCCCTGTTCTGTTCAGGTATTCGGTGTGGCTGCCGCTTAGAGATCTGTCATCGTTTGCTGGGTTTCTGAGGTAGCCTGGATCCTTCTTGGCTCGGCACAAGGCTAAGAGTATGAGAAGTAACCCGCAGGTAAGCAGAGCCAGCTGAGTGGGCCCTACACGCCCCCTGGGGACGACCTCCTGCAGGAACACGTAGTACATGTAGCCCAGAGAGAACAGTCCGAGGCTCAGGAAAAACAGAGTCTGTTCTTTCCTTCTGTGAGTGAGGTAGTAGTACCACAGAGCCAGCACAGGGAGGGAGGTCAAAACCACCACCCCCAGGAGGAAATGCCACGAAGCCACTCGCAGGAAGACAGGCAGCAGGAAGAGTGGGGGAAGGAGGCTAATGTTAACTTTCCTGGCTCCCCTAAGCCAAGGAATCCGGAGGCGGTCAGAGATCGTATCCATGATCCTTTCGTAGGTCTCGGGCTGCACGGACTTACACGTGATCCATCTGTTCAGAGAGAGCACAGAGAAGACACCTCTGACGTGTTTGTTGAATGAAAAACCACTCAACACTGTAGGCCAGACAGCAGGATAAATGATAAAAGATGCCAAAGACCAAGCATTCTACTTCCTTACTATTAAACACGAGCTCTTCAGATTCATGTATAATTTCTTAATACGAATGACAAAAGGTTTAGATATTTAACAGAACTATTTCTCCAGGAAACAAATACACAGGAATACACACGTATTCCACATAAGTCCTGTTCAGACTGGGGTGGGCGTAGAGCCATAAAAATCTCCAAAAAATTCACCATCTAGTTGTGAAGACAACATGGGAATCCAAGAAATATTAGGTAAGTGACAAAGTAGCAAAATCACCCAATGAACTATTACAGTCAAACACGGTAAGGTGTGCTCAGAGGAGAGGACACACGTCTGGGTGGAGTCATCACAGGGGTCTTTGTGGGAAAAAAGGGATTTGTGCTCCACCTTGACAGCTGGCTAGTATTCCTGTGGGTGGAGAGGAAGGCAAGAAGGCGTTCCAGTGGAGAGATGCATGTGCAGCACAAAACCTGTCCTGGGCCGGGGGAGTAAACCAGTTCAATAGGGCAGGGGGCTGCATAAGGAAGCGTGGAGGTCAAACTAGTACAAGTCAAATGACTGAGCTTGGTGGACAGGTAGTATTGTTGACTTTTTTTGCATATTAGGCTATTATGGAAAGGAGCAGTTTAAGGAAGGATAACATTGGTTTTAGAAATTTAGAATTAAAAAAAAAATTTAGAATTTTAAAAAATAGGGCTAGACTTGGAAGTGAATGGGAACTAACTATATGGGAGGCATACAGAGCAGCGGGTCTGTAGAAATCCTGGGAGCCCATCTCATCCAGAAGGGTCTGGAGAGAAGAAAACTCAGGGACAGCCCAGGTCTCAAGGGCTGGGAGGGAGGAAGAGTTAGAAGGCCAATGGAAGAGTTGTGGTCTTGAGTGATGGAGGTTACAGAAAAGGCATCATTTCTCCATTCATTAGTCCAAAGTGTTCTACTTTCTCAGTATGGATTTTAGACTAAGACTAAAGAACCTACATTTAAAGACACCTGTAAGAGACTATTGACACTGTCAAGGAAGAATTACAAAGGGATTATGGGATACTAGACTACAGTAGTCCCCAAGAACGCTTCTCATGGCGAGATGAACATACCAAGCAGCATACCAAATCAGCAATGTGCCACTGCAATGACTTTTTTTAACCAGAAGGAATTATTGATGGGAAAAGCAAGTTTCCACCATCTGTGTTCTCCCCACATTATGCTTTCCATGTGATAATTCTTAAATATATAATTATTTAGAAAATAGATAAAAACCAGGTTATTACGGTTTGGCACAAAATTTTTTCAGTGATATTAGAAATCATCTCTTTGGATAGTTAATTTCCATCACTTGGGATAATGGTGAAAATAAAAGCCAAATACAATAGCATCAATCAGGACTGTGTTGCTGCTCATGCTGAAAACAGCCAGTCCAGGGGAGGCACATGCCTTCTGGCTGGATTTCCTCCCCAGAAACGAGGGGTGAAACCGATTCCAAGAGCAGAAAAATGATTTTTCAACCCTCAAGGCCCTGTGTGGCCAAGTGCAATCCAGTCCCAAGATGTCAGTCTCTGAATGCTGAGACCACTGAGAATTGTAGGAACTTTCTGGTACTAATGTGTTCATTTTAAACTTACAGATTCTCCTGGCCTGCATTTTATTTTTTTTAATGCGTTTAACTTGCCTACTATCCCTTTACCTGCCTGTTCTCTCTGTCATCTCCTCCCTTTAAATGAGAAATAATAATGTCCTAGTAAACTGAGCTGAACAGACAGTTGTGCACTACTGAGTAATAATTCATCTTTATAAAGTCCTCACACTTGACATAAAAGACAACTTTCAGTTGGAGATAAGTGGAAACAGAATGAAGAGCAAATTCTAGTGTTCTGGATGGCTAAGCTGAAAGTATACATGGTAGTTCTCAAAAGGGCCGGAGGGATCAGCATCTAGAAACACACAGCTCTTACCTATCACACCCTTCATCCAGATCTTGGCAATCACACAAACAAGCAGCCACGTGGTTCTTTTCCCCATTTCGATCTAGGTACTCGCAGCAGCACAGGGGCTCCAGTTCAGGTTCTTCCGCTTTGTTTTTCTTTCCTGGCTTCATACTGCCCTTCTTGGTCATGATTTCCACCTGTCACCATGAGGCATAAGAAGCCCTCAGGAAGTAAAGTGGAAAGAACACAACTCACATCTTGTAAGCACATCCAAGCCTATACCTGATTAACCACCAACGCCTGAGAAATCAAAAATGAGAAGAAGGGGAGGTGGTCCCCTTTTCATCAGGCTTTACTGGCTCGGCGTGGCCAGACACAAAGCTCTAGGGCTCTAAGGGCTCCAAGCGCCTTCACGGCCAGGTCCCCATCCAGGACAGGCGCCGCCTGGGCGCTAGCCGTTCCCATGACGACAGCCTACTACGCGGCCCGGGACAGCCGGGGCACGGGTGGCTGCACTCACCTGCGGGTGCGGGCTGGGGAGGGCCGCGCTGTCCCCGCCCGAAGCCAGGGTGAGGGTGGAAACACCCTCGGAGCTGCGGGAGGAGACAAAGCATGTATCCGCTGGGGCCGACTACCCGGCTCCGGAGAGGCCACCCGGCGCCCGGGCAGCGCTCAGGGTCGCCGTCCAGACCCACTTCTCCGCCGCGAGGTGGGCGCGCCTCTCCCACCCCGGCCAATCGTGAGGACGTGGGTGGGCCGAGAACACCGCCCAGCCCGAAGAATGACCTTGGGAGGGAAGTTACCTGCGCTCCCGGGCCGAGGTGCGGCTGCAGTCAAAGAGGCCGAGGCGGAGAGAAGGGTCGGCTCCTCCCGAGGCGCGGACGCGTCTGCCGATCTCTGCTCCACGGGGCTCCCGACGCGATGGCTGGAGTCTCAGGGACCCCGGCTCCGTTCTCCGCCGCGCCCTCTCCGCCGCCGCCCACCTGTGACCACAGCGGGCCGCCACTGGGGCGGTGCGCCCGCCTCCCGCGGTGCCCCCAACCAACTCCCGCCGTGTCCCCCGCCGCCCCACGGCCGGCCCGGCAGAGCGCGGCAAGTCCGCGAGCTTCCGGGTGCCCCGCCCCCGTCGCCGGGCATCCCCCGCCCGCACGTGCGGAGCCCTCCGGCGAGGCCCCTCCCCCGGCCCGCGGCCCTGGCGCCCCGGGGAGCGGAGGAGCGAAGGCCGGGCTCCTGCAGCGGGTCCAGGTTAGGCGCCGGGCTGATCCGCACCTCCGCCCCGCCCCGCCCCAGAGGCGGCCGCCCGGACCCCGCCCGGACCCGCGGGTGCCAGCGGGCGGCGCGTGGGGGCAGCCTCCCGAGCCTGCGGGGTGGCGGGGGGGGGGGGGGGTCGGCGAAGGCGGAAATACGGGAAACCTGGAGCCCTGAGAGTTTCCTAAATACATGAGACCCGTCGGTCGGCAGGTCTTCATTCAGACGCCAGCAACAGGCGTTGGGGGAGATCTCCACGGCAAAATGTTACCGACGTACCGCCCCCAAATTCGCTAACCTTCTCTTAAAGGCCCAGGTCACTGTCCCTGATCTGTTAATTATCCAACTTGTTCATTTTCATGGTTTCTGGCCAGCAGTCTCTTCATGAGACCAGCAGGCCTATCTAGTACTCTTGCTCCAGAAAGCTGCATATTTGAAACGAAACTGCCCTAAGATGAGAGTCCTCTCTGGGTTTCACTTTTGCACAAAATTTTTTTTAAAGGGTGTAGGCCCATATATACGTTTTCACAGAAACAGGCTTTCTAGTTTGGGGAGGGTTTGACCGAAAAAGAAGGAAAACAACGCAGAGATTTGGGGTTTTATTGATATTCAATTTACATAGGCTCAAATACAATTAATTGAATGCATACATATCTAGTTGTAATTTACAAAGCAACTTAACTTTGGTAACTTTCTTTGAGGTATTTTATGAAGTACAGGTTTTAAAGAAATATCACAAAAATACTCAGCTTGTCAGTGACCATTTTTGTGAAATTAACAGAGAACAAGGTTTCAAGTTTACAATCCAGTCACTTTTGCTCAGTCAGACACATCATAAATCCTTATCGAAAAACCTCCAGGTAGGTACACTGGTATCCCAAGGTAGGTTAGTTGAGATTCACCCAGAGAAACCCGTTTTTCCTCTAATCCAGTCAATAATTTCATTCTCTATGGGCATCTCGAAAATGACTTTAGCAATCCCATGTGGCTTGGGTGACTGGGCAAAGAAGAGACATCTAACTAAAGGCAATTGTTATTCAAGCAGTAAGAATATATACAAATTATTCTGCACTGTCCTTCTCTTGTTCCACAGACATCACTTGTATTGAGACACATACGCCTAAAAACTTTTAATGAAGAGCCAAAGCTCATGTCTGATTTACAACTTGTCAGTGCACTTATATTGGGAGAAAATGCCCCCCAAAGTCTTTCTTAAAGAGCTAAAGTTTGTGTCTGGCTTACAACTGACTGACTAAAGCCACACATGTGAATGAGTAAATGAAGCCATACGTGGCTACTGAAAAGTAGTCCACAAATTATAATATTTTCAACCAGATGGCTCATTTCCACCATGAAAGTCTGCTAAGCTGAAGCCAAGCTTAGTTCAAGTATTCATTTGATCTGTCACTAACATGCCCAGATTTTAACATAATCTTCTAGTCTTTAAAACTCAGAGCATGGTTCTTCGTTTTGAGAGATGGTATCCTACATGTTTCCTTTTCCAAAATTGACTCTTCTGCCATATAATGTATGAAGAGCAAGATAATCTCACCTCTGAGAGCCACCTGAAGAAACACCTATTTCTTTCATAAAGATACCACATGGCTGAAGAACCTTTCAGATAATCATCATCAACATGCAGATTCAAAACGTTTGACTACTGAATTTACACGCTAAATAAATGAAGACATTGTATTGATAATATTTATAGTACAAGAATCTATAAATGTTATAATAGATGCCTGAAAACTGATCCTTCAAAGTTAGTAATGATTTAGAGATTTCTTCTTATATTGTCTTCTTTATCCTCTTGAATGTATCTCAACTGTGAAAGCAGCCTATTGGACACATACTGATTCTGTACTAACAGATAAAGTGTCAAACTTCAAACTTCACTGTGAAAATGAGGCCATACCACTCAGTTCAGAATGTCTCATTTTCTTTTTGTATCACAGAAATTCAAATCCACAATATATTTCATGCTTCACTGGAGAAATTCACAGCTTAGAATTATGTATAAGAAATGAAAGGATGGATTCCTAAGGCCGTCAGAGACTAATTCTCCAATAAATGTTATTCAAAAGAATGTTAATATTAGAAGTACAAATAATGAGAAAATATGGAAATGTTCCTATGACAATTCAAATCCTTCACCCTCTAGTTTTCTTCAAGACGTTTTCTTTTGGTTCCACATATCTCTATAATTTTGGTCCTTAAGATCACTAGCTTTGGACAGCCATGCCTGTCTTGTTCTTATTTAGTAGATCAAAGGTTCTCTGAAGCATAATGAGTGAGCTCTTCAACTGCAAAGAAAATTTTCAAAATCAGATTGTTTAAATTTTTCTGATTATTTGTACGCCAAAAGTTTGCATTTAATAAAATTCTGTCTATACTGATGCCCAAATAAAAGACTAACTATAAAACACCCGATTCCTTCGGTTATCTGTCAGTGTGACTGCTAGCGTTCTTTTCATTTGCTGTAGTGTTGCACTTCTTCCTACAACGTATTACTGTGTGCTTTACCCCCCAATAAGTCTATTCATCAAATGATCCAAAGTGAAGGGCTTGTTTACTGAAATGGTTTCTGAAGCTACAGTGGTCTCCCCACCATCCCCTAAGCAACTCAAGTTCCACTCAAGGCCTTTGCTTGCTATTATGCTCATGTTCATCTTCACCTATCTAAAACTTACCCGTCTCACTGTTTCCATGCAGTTTTCCCTAATCATCCTGCCTCTAAACTCCTAAAGCTTTACTACTTACTTTGATGCTTAATTTTGTACTTTTTCTTTACAGTCTTTAACAATACACATGGACATCTGACATCTCTAATAAAATTGTAGACAACTTGAGAGCAAGAATTATGTCTTACATATGGACACCAAGGGGGGAAAACTGCGGTGGGGTGGGGATGGTGGTGTGCTGAATTGGGCGATTGGGATTGACATGTATACACTGATGTGTATAAAATTGATGACTAATAAGAACCTGCAGTATAAAAAAACAAACAAACAAAACAAAACAAAAAATTATTTCTTTTTTGTATTCATTCATTCATTCAACAAATATTTTTTGCTTACCTGTTAAATGCTGGGCACTGTGCTAAGTACTGGGTATACAATGGTGAACCAAATAGGCACTGTCCCTGCCTTCATGGAGCTTACAGACTAGTGAGAGACTCAGAACTAAAATGAATAATTACACAGATAAATATATACTTACACACTGTATGAAGATTTTCACTTGAACAACTGGAGGATAGTAGTATCATTTTTTGAAATTAGGTCAACTAGAGGAGAACTAGGTTTGACTCAAGATGAAAACTTAATTCTGTTTTGGACATGATCAGTTCGGGAGGCCTGTTAGCCTCGAGGTAAAGACGCCAAGTCAGCAAGTGGCTGTGTGAGTCTGGACTCAGGGAAGAGGTCAGGGTGAGAGACATGCTTTGGGAGCCATTGGCGCATGTGGTATTCCAAGTTTGGGGAGCAGCTAAGATTACCTAGAGGGCAGTGAAGGAGAAGGGAAGAGAATCTAACGCAAAAGCCTGCATTGGGAGGGGACGAGCTCAGGAAGCGGAGATGGTTTTAACCAGCAAAAAGCAGTTTTACATTATGCTAAGTGGAAGCCAGGCATGAAAGACCGTATATTATATGATTCCATTTATATGAAATGTCCAGAACAGGCAAACCCATAGAAATAGAAAGTAGATTAGTGATCTCCAGGAGCTGAGAGAGTGAGGGATGGGAATGACTGCTCATGGGTACAGGGCTTCTTTGGGGGACGATAAAATGCTCTGGAATTAGATAGTGGCGATGGTGGGACAAGCCTGTGAATTACACTAAAAATTCTTTAAAAGGTGAATTTTATGTTATGTGAATTATATCACAATAAAGCTGTGTTTTTTTCCATGGTTCCAAAGCAGGGAAGATTAGATATATTTCAAGAAAGGAATGGTCAGCTTTGTCAAATGCTGGCACTGTAAGATGAAAAGTTAAAAAAAAAAAAGGTCCTTCTAAAGTCCTATTTTCTGGAGAGGATAAAAAAGAGGGTCTCTGGGCTTCCCTGGTGGCGCAGTGGTTGAGAGTCCACCTGCCGGTGCAGGGGACACGGGTTCGTGCCCCGGTCCGGGAGGATCCCACATGCCGCGGAGCGGCTGGGCCTGTGAGCCATGGCCGCTGAGCCTGCACTTCCGGAGCCTGTGCTCCGCAATGGGAGAAGCCACAACAGTGAGAGGCCCGCGTACCGAAAAAAAAAAAAAAGAGGGTCTCTGGCAGTCTGGCCAGGAGGACACCAATACATCGTTAAAGACAGCAGTACCATACCAAAAATGGGGATTATACAAAAACGTGTATACTGCACGTTGAGATCATCCCTTTGCCCTGCCCTCCTCAATCTCTCTACTCTCACTCACCTAAAATGCTGGCAGCCACCCCTTAGTCCTTCAGGGAGGAGACTGGAAGAGTCTTCTCTGTGGAAACTGACCAATCCAAGAGAAAAAACCTAAAGATACTGACATCAGGATTTCTTAGCCAACGGCCCAGCCAGATCTACCAAGAAGTTCAGGGTAGACCAGCCCAACCCACACGATAAGAACTTTGGATGCATACAAGCAGAAAGCGAAGGACTACAGACATCTAAAGAAATCCTCTAACCCTAAGGATAAAAATCAAAACGGGGGAAAGGACCTTGCTGGAATGTGGGTATGCAAGAAGAAAAAAAAAAATGTTTTTAATTATCAGTAATATGGTCAGAGAGGAAGATATTATGGCCATTTAAAACGTTCACAATGCCATTAAAAAAGAAAATTCAGAGAAATGGCAGCTCTTTGAAATTAAAAACTTGTTAGCAAAAACTGAAAAACTCAGTAAAAGAATTTGAAGATTAAGTTGAGGAAATCTCTGAGGAAGTAGAACAAAAAGGCAAAAGGATGGAAGCTGGAAAGAAAAGGTAAGGTTAGACAACCTGTCCAACAGAAGGCAGACACCTGATTAGAGGTGCTATAGAAAGTCAGGGGAGAGAAGGTGGAGGAGAGGAAATCATCAGCCACACAGCTCAGTACATCCCAGGACGAAAGGGCACCAGTTTCCAGACAAAGGATCAGGAATCTGACAGCCTCAGAATTCTCAGGAGTAACACTGGAAGCCAAAAGGCAATGGAGCAATGCCTTCAATGTTCTGAAGGAAACTTATTTCCAAGCTAGAATTCTATCCCCAGCCAAATAACTGATCAAAGGGGAAGGACAGAATAAAAAATTTCAGACAGGTGAAGTCTTAAAATATTTACCTCCATACCCTCTTTCTCAGGAAGCTACTAGAGGATATGCTCCATTAAAAGGAGGGAGGAAACCAAGAAAGCAGAAAACATGGGATATGGGAAACAGGAGGTGGGCAACAGGAGCCCCAAGATGATAGCTGTGCACCTGCAGAGAGGGCCACTGGCCCTGCCTGGAGCCCGTCAGAGGCTCCATGGATTGAAAACCTGAGGTGACCGAAGATGATGAGAGGAGACAGAGCATCAGGGCATGAAACACTTATAAACAATACAATAAAATAATCAACTGTAATAAGAAGACAATTTCAGGGGTAAGAAAAAGTAGCCGCGGTTCATTCTATGGCTCAGCTCAGAACAGTAAACTTAGTCAAAACAAAGCCAACACTGAATGCTGATCCAACCAAAATTACAACTTCCTTTGGAGGATGGCGGCTTAGAAATGGGAGCATGAAGAGGTGAAAGAAAACAAAATCCCAGTCTCCATAACGAGAAGTCAAAAGATAACGTCTAAAACTGAAAAATCAAGAAGTATCAACACATGCTTGTGGTTTATAAATATGGAGGTAAACACCAGAAGAATAAACCAGGAGAGTTAGATTGTAGTCTTTGGGAAAGAAATGGAGAAGAGGATACCAGGATTGCTATTTTTCTGAAACAACCCTGTAGAACAAGTTAATTCTTCATGTGAACGAGTGACTTTGGTGAAAATAAAACCTCAAAAAAGTGAAGGAGTTATAAACGATAAAATAGTGACAGCCAGAGTAGGCAACTCCGAGAGTGCCTGACGGTGAAAGGGAGGAGAGCGATAGATGAGCAGATAGAGAAGGATGTGGATGACGCAGGTTTTCTAATGTAGGAGATAAGAGAGCAGGGGAGGTGCTGATGGAAAGATCCAGCTGAATGAGGGAGTCTGAAGATGGGGAAGCTAGAGGGGTAGATGGAGTCTCCTGCCAACTCGTGCTGGGACTTGCATCCCACAGGTAGAGCGATGCTTCTAATGGAATGCTGAACAGTACGGGTGCAGCGACGGGGGAAGGTCTGTAGATCTGGTTATAGAAGGAGAGGGAGGGTCTCTTCTCTCCTTGAGGCATGGTCATGAGTTCAGAGTCAGCAGGAAATGAGTGGAGAGGATGAGAAGAAAAGTGAGAGTATGATCTACTCCTTGCTGAGGGGAGGAGAAAGTAACTAACTGCAGGCACTGTGCATCTGAAGAGTGCCTAGCGGAAGCACCTTTAGTGCCCCACATGATGTTCTAAGAAATGCTCAATAATTGAATCTTCTAAAAAACAAACCAATGCATAGAAGAAAAGGATGGAAGCAAATAAAACAAAATGTTAAAAGTGATTATGTCTGAATGCTAGTAGGTTCTCTTCTATTCTCTATTTTTCAATTTTGAAAAGTACACATGTATTATATTATAATGGAAGTATTAGTCCTCATTTTTCAAAGGGAATCCTAAGTTTTGGTTCATAGAACCGAGCAGCACACATTGATGATACTATGTTCAAGAGAGAACGCTTATAGCAAAACACCAAAACAACCTAAAGGTTCATTCTTCAGTGGAGAACTGGTAAAATAATTATGCCACATATGTACAGTTGAATTCTAATGCAGCTGTTAAAAAAGAGGATATGGAAGCATCTCCATGATACATGGTTAATAGATAAAAACAAAATAATGAGCAGGTTAATAGATTAAAAACAAAATAATGAGCATGGTTAATAGATAAAACAGAATAATGAGCAATCTACCACTTCTATAAAAAGCTGATATTGAGCGTGAAATTTTATATAGAAGGACCAATAAAAAGAATGAGGTATATGTATACAGGCTGATAGGGAAACATGTTCAAAATATATTACTAATTGAAAGAAGAGGGTATGCAACGGTAAGTACAGTACGTTACCATTTTGTTAAAAACAAAAAGTACCAGTGACTATAAAATGTATAATCCAGAAACTGGCAAGGGTAGATGCCTCTAGGAGGGGGATTTCTTCAAATAATGGAACAGTAAATATTCTCTCACAACCAGAGGAGCAGCTGATTCACTGGGATGACTACTAAGTAACGTGGTACACAGAGGTGCTGACCTGTTCCAGCATCACGATGGAGTCCCGGAGTACTCCTTTTAAGCGATGGGCCTGATCTTTGCTCTTTTGAATATTTTCTGCTCTTGACACCATATCAGAGGCTAAACTGAAAGAAAAATACCATCTTAAAGATCAAAGGAATAGCTTCTGGGCTTTCATCTCTAGAAATCATAGTGCCCTATAAATTTGCAAATAAAACAAAAAAGTAAACAAAAAAGTTTATGACTAGAGAATAGTTGGCAGATCAAAATCTCTAAAATTGGAATTAAGTTCCCTGCAGCAAAGGAATTATTGACATAATAGGTTGCGAGGGAAGAAGACTTACTTAACAGATTTCTCTTCCTGGAGGTGAAGACGGTAAAAGGACTGAGCAGCGTACTCTATCTTTGACAGCTTCAGAAACAGCGTCACATTCAATAAAACCAGCAACAGCAAACTAGGCAGAGCAAGACCTGGTTAATCCACTATTACTCAGACCTAAAGCGTTGCTAGCGCAGAATAGACACACAACACCTTCAAAAATGTATATTATCCAGACTAGTTTCCAATTATTATTATTTAAATCAATTACCCCTATTTTATTGTATGAAATACTTATTTGTAAGTATTCAGTGGATGTTGAGGGAACACTTAGAAGATAACTAGTGACCATAAAGTCCCCAAACAAGCAGGTTGGGATTGTCCCTGACGTCTCTTCTCTGCTAGCAATCCCAGCCAGTGTGGATGTGCGACCACCGGTTGAGAAATCTACCATGTTAGCTTTCAAGATCTATTTTTGGGGGCTTTTGTCTTAAGCAATTACACATACATAATACTGCACTTCAGAAAGGAAATGAAGATCAATATGGATTTGATCTTAGATAGATCATGATGTACCTCTTTTTTTTTTTTTTTTTTTTGCGGTACACGGGCCTCTCACTGTTGTGGCCTCTCCCGCTGCGGAGCACAGGCTCCGGACGCGCAGGCTCAGTGGCCATGGCTCACAGGCCCAGCCGCTCCGTGGCATGTGGGATCCTCCCGGACCGGGGCATGAACCCGCGTCCCCTGCATTGGCAGGCGGACTCTCAACCACTGCGCCACCAGGGAAGCCCCATGATGTACCTCTTATTCTCAGCAGAAGCCAAAACAAATTCACATTCACAAAATCACCGTTCAGCAAAAATTTCTTCTAGTTCAACTTAGACAAAATTTCAAATCCCAAACATACATTAATTGGATCATATATAAAATGTTACCTGCTAAATAAACTTACTCTGTTGGTTCTCACAATAGTATTTCAAGTGAATGAACATATCTCATTACACATACATGCAAATACATAGGTGGCATCATATCTCTCTGATTTTTTCTGTTAAAATATTGACTTGCCCTTAAAAATACATCATATTCACTTTTACCCATCCAGAAGATTTTTCTTGAATGAAAACTAAGGTAGTAGCAAGAAAATCAAATCTATGAAATTATTGTGTCACTGAAATGGGGTATAGATCAACATTTCAACATCTGACTGTAAATCTTCTACAAAGTAATACAAAAGATCACAGATAATATTTACTATTCAAAATCGTCACAGCAAACCAATGGAAGCAGAATATGAAAACCTTTTATAAAACTCAAAAGGCACAACAAACATTTTGTATGTTCTGAAATCTATAATTAGAAAAAACAGCTGATATAAGAACTTCTTTCCAAAACCCAGAGTGTATCATCCAGTCAGAACTAATTCAATTAAATGTGATGGACTACCTCAAGATCCAAGTACAGCCATGGAGAAAACAGTAGTCTAAATAAGACTGGCTGAGAAGATTCCAGTAGAACACTGAGATTCAGACTAATTGCCCCAGTATTTCTCACCCTACAATCCTCATATCATTTGCATCAGAATAACCTGCACGTGTGTTTTAGAATACTACTGATTCCTGATCCCTACTCAAGACCCACTGACTCGATCTGTAGGACTGGGGCTGGGAAATCTGTATTTCAGCAAGTGATTCTTATGCACAGTAAAGGGTAAGGACCACTGGTCTAATCAAGTAGAGTAAATAAAATAGCATTGTTGGGATTTCATCAGCCTGCATATAAAAATATCCCCTTGGGCTTCCCTGGTGGCGCAGTGGTTGAGAGTCCGCCTGCCGATGCAGGGGACACGGGTTCGTGCCCCGGTCTGGGAAGATCCCACATGCCGCGGAGCGGCTGGGCCCGTGAGCCATGGCCGCTGGGCCTGCGCATCCGGAGCCTGTGCTCCGCAACGGGAGAGGCCACAACAGTGAGAGGCCCGTGTACCGCAAAAAAAAAAAAAAAAAAAAAAATTCCCTTTAAATTTATGGTACTTCCCTAAAAATCTATGATGGTAGAAACAAATCAGATTACTTTAAAAAACGAAAACATTTACTGAACGTGTATTTGGTATTCCCTCGAATTTAACAGTTCTTCTGAAAATCATTCAAAAACTATCAGACTGAAGCATATAAAATTACTGTTTTTGCAGGCCAAAATTGGTCAAATTGTGATAATTTCTATATAACAATATACAAATACATTCAAATTCTTTTGGAAACCATTAAAAGATAAGAGAGGACACAAGCAAACTAAGCGTTCAACACAAATACTTACAAAATACTCATCACCACAATAAGGATGGTGTTATAGCTTTCAATTTCCTTTTTCTTTCCTGCAAATTACAAAAAAAGGCCGATTTAGAATCAGGAATGTTTAATTTCATTTGAAAAGTACTGGAAAAGAAGTTTTTTTAATTATTTGTAAAGACAAAGTGATTTACAGTGAATTCCCTGCACCCCTCTTCTGACTTTTGATATCCTGAGTATTAGTAAACAAATCTACAAAAAGAAACCCTGTATCAGTTCTGCAAATTTGGCCTATATTACAGATCAATTTGTTCTACAATTAAACAAGCAATTCAATATATCATGTATGATCTCTAGCTAAGTTCCATCTCTGCAAATAATATTTGAAATAGTTTTACGTATGTTTCCCTCCTTAAAAAAAAACTTTTTTAATCATCCTCACCTGTTCTCTGTTTCCCAAATTTTGTTGCCAAGTCCCAAAATTAAAGAGCTATTAAGTTGAAATGGTAGAAAAACATATTCACACTAAGATGTAAACCTTAGAAAAGGATCTGATAATGTAGAAGGATGAGAAGGTATGACAGCTTTATAGCACTGAGAGGGAGGGAACAACAGTTAGTAGGGGCAAGACGTCTTCAAAATTGAGAGTAGAGATAATCAAAGTCACCTTCTATCTCTGCAATTTTGCTGGGCTGGCCCTGATAGTACATAAGGATTAAAAGCATACAAACATGGTAGTAGATTCAAGGGTAGAAATCAAATGTGTACAAATGCTAGGCAGGAAGTTAATGAGTAAAGCGTCCAGCAATAGGGTAAGAGTCGTGGGGACTGGTGACCTGGGGAGAGTGCACGCTCGGTCAAATGGGGCAGCTACTACTAAGCTCCAACCACCTGCTGCTACAAAGGGATATGGGTCCAGGGCTGCCAGATCTGAGATTCTATATAAAAATGTCCAAGGTTTAAAATACCATGTGGGCCCAGTAAAACACTTCTACTGGCCACATGCCTGCCATTTTGTAACTGCTCCTTTATACTTATATATTGGTTTTCTTTAAGGAAACCAGAGTTCGACAAACATTATTGGAAAAGGAGAGGAGAAAGGGAGACCTCCTAACTGACGTGTCTTATAAACAAGAGGCATATTTGGCTTCATATAAAATAAACTTATAAGGAAAAAAAACCTTCATCTCTGTTTACCAGGTAACAGCTACCTGTAATATCCCCTTTGGCATCTAAGCCCAGGTCTCCAGAAGAACACTGAGAAGAAAGTTTAGGAGCTGTTTCTGCTGTTCTGTTGACTGTTCGCCTTCTCCTTCGTAGGCCACTAAGTTTTCCAGGGTCTTCAACGGGCTGATTTACCATAGATTCTTCCATTAACAAATCTGATTCTAAGAAGAAAAAAATCTTTAGATAGTGGAGAAACCTTCTCAACTATAAGATACTGGGGGGTTGGTCACTGTTTTGTTCTCAGTTTGCTTTTTTTTAGACCTTGGTAACTTTCTTTAACTATTACTCAGATTCTTATGGCCTAGATTCAAACTTTACTCTTAATGAAAAGTTTTGTACGATGATCCCATAATGAGGCTGCATTATTCTAGGAAGAATGAACTGTATTAATTAATGACAGGATCATCAGAGCAAATTTGCCATGTGCTATATTAAATATTAATGTAGAGATTTCAGTTATGGAAACAACCCACTTACATTGGATCATTAGAAAGATTTCCAAGATAGATTATAGTACTTGATTGTCAATCTCAAAGGAAGGGGAAGCATATAATAGTTCTAATTTACAATGAGGGTTTGCAAAAAAGGAAGCACTAGTAAAGAAAATCTGCCAACAACCTATCAATAAAAACCTCATTTTCCACATTTGTTTTAACCTTTCCCTTCACCAGATTTTTCAGTAGAAGTTCATTATCTAGTGGCCAAACTCATTTCTGAGTTTCATTTTTCTAGTGACCTGGAGCTTAATAATCAAATAACCAAAGACAAGGAAACAAGGAAAATAAATAATCAACAAGCTGGATGATGAAGCCTTAAATTACCCTGAGTTGATTGGCCACCACCTTTCCTTTAACTAAAATTAATTATGCTCATATATGTATATATATATGTTTTTTCCTCATGTATATTTTAAAGAATATCCAAACAGAACAACTACATCACCTCCCCAGTCTAGTACCCACCTCCACCAAATCCACACATGTACGTGGTACCATTGCTAGGTGGGCCTGTGTAAACCCAGGAGAGCTGCATTGGTAAGGGAGATGTGGGCCTGAGGAGGCTCCAGACCTTCGTGGGTACAAGTGCATACTTGTGACCGGATTACCCAGTCCCTCACTGCAGGCAGCTTCCTTGGCTCCTTACAGAGGGAGGGAGTGTGACAGCTCCTAACTGTGTGATCTTGGACAAGTCACTTAACCTCTCTCTCTGTGTGTTTCAATGGAAAAAAAAATAATAGTACTTATATCTCACAGGGTTGTAAAAAACAGGTTGATATTTATAAAGCACACAGAACAACGTCTGGCATATCACAGGCATTATTTAAGTGTTTGGTAGACCAATGAAAATTAGAAGTTTTGAAATTCCAAGTGGAGTAGTTGAAACCACTTCAGCAGGAGTCATTCCAACATCACCTACCAGTTCCTGCTATGAATCCAAACGAAGAATCCATTAAATGATTAATAAATGCCATTTTTACAAAAATAGATAGATCAAGAAATTTACAAACCAAGCTGTTTGAAATAGTCCGCCAAGGAACTCCAGGAATTCTTCTCAATTAAAGATTTGACAATGGCCCATGGTTGTTTTCTGTATTTCAAATCTGTTGAAACTCTAATAGATAAGGAAGAAAGAAGAATATTTAATTTACAAATTTTAATTATATTATTAACATTACAATTAGATGTAGGAATGAATTCAGCGGAAAGCCAAAAGGATTCAAAGTCATTAAGACTATTAAAAAGAAAATTGTTCACTGATAATGAATTCTTTAAAAAATTACTGGGCGCTGCTAAAATTTCATCAACTTGGCATTTTATTTCTTTCCTTTCTCTAACCCTGAATTTTCTTTACTTAAATAGCAATAAAGGCTCAAAATAAATTTTAAATTTCCTAAATGCCTCGTATAAAAAATCTTTAGTGGTCATACATTAGCTGCAAGTCACTACATGAGCTGAGACTAGGCCAGTTGTGTGACGGCCCAGCACCATCTTCAACAGGCCAACATTTCTGGTCTCCCATCGCAACAGAGCTGTTTACCGCCCACCATGTGCTCCTCAAATCTCCCAGTCCCCTTGCCATTAAACGGGGTCCTGCGAGCATTTCTGGCCACTGGACTGCGAGCACAGCTCTACAGCTCTCTCTTCCAGTGGCAAATGAAATGACACGTATTCTGGATTGTGCAGCCCCGGGAGGTCAAAGCCTTCATCAGCCTGGGTCCTTGAGTACGGATCCCCGCCCCTCTGCGGACTGCCGGTGGACACGTAAAGCAAGAAATAAAGCTTTGTTGTATAAGGCTACTACTAAGATTTGGGGATTGATACGTTACCAGCACGCAATGTAGCATGTCCTGACTAAAACACTCATTTACAGCAGCTCACCTCAACCGGCATTTCTGCTTTGAAGATCGGATGATATAGTATCTGTTCAGAGTATAGAAGTAATCATGGTAGGGAACATCGTGTGCCAGCACTTCTGAATCTACCAAGTAAAATTGTGCTTCCCGACTTTCTTTATACAGTCTCTGCCAAAATAAGATTAAGTTTTTTTGCATGTACATGTTTAATACATCAAATTCCTTGCCAATATAGTGCCTATATACTCGAATTCCTTCTCACCAATTACAAAAAACATGAGAAGCCTATACACAGAGCCAGAAGGGCCACCATGTTGGCTGTGAGATCTATGAATTGAGACGGGACCTGCAGAAATAGTATTCGCTACCTCTCTGTCACTTCACTGTATAATTGTTTTTTTCCTTTCTTTGACGCATGAGGAGGAGAAAGGAACTACATAATCTCTCGTGTGTGTTAGTAATTTATAAAGAATTGCAAATGTTCCTGGTAGGGAAACAATTCAAAATTCAATTGAACAAAGCCAGCACCCCACTCTAAAATTCATCAAAGTTTAACAAAACCACCCTTCACCAAAAACGTGAAGGAAGGAGACAACCAAACAAAACACTGCTTTCCCTGAACAGGATCAGAAGTGGTTGCTGGCCAAATCTTTCTCATTGTCACCTTACCGATTCTGCCCATCCTCTAAGGTTATCAAAGACCCTCCAATTCAAAATACAAAACTTCTCTTAAATGTCTGAAAATCTTTGGAAGAAAAATATTTAAGTCCTTTTGAACACTGACGGACAAAAACTATGATAGCACAACTAATTCAGATGTTAATAAATATTTTCTAACTTTGCAGAACAGTTATGCTATATGTCAACAACAACTGGCCAAACATAAACCCCACTGTATGACAGTGACATGCTGGCCACACAGCAGACAGAGCATTAAATATCTTACAATCTCTTCCTCATATGTCACAGCAGCCATCTAGTTATTTGGCTCTAACCCTTGACACGATCCAGTAAATCAGATTCCAGTAGTGTCCTCTTAAAAACCATTTATTATGGAAAAGTTCAAACATATACAAGAGTAGAAATGAACATTATACAATAAACCCTCATAAGCTCATCAACCAGCTTCAACAATATTAACTCCTGCCCAGTCCTGTTTCATCTGTACCTCTCCCCATATTCCCTCTCTCTACTCCCATCCTCTGTCTGACTAGATTACTTTTAAAAAACACCCTAGATACCAGCATAATTTCATCCAAAAATACATCAGTATATCTCTTTATAAATTCCTCAGTATATCCCTTTAAAAGATAAATATTCTCTTCTTTAAAATATAGCTACAATACCATTATTGCACATAAAAATGAACAATTCCTTAAATCTCAGAAATACCCTTTTACAGTTGGTTTGTCTGAATTAGGATTGAGTTAATTTAGTTGATATACCTCTTAAATCTCTTTTAACCTGTACACAGTTTCTCCTCTATTTTTTTCCTTGCCGTTTATTTGTTGAAACTGTCCTGTCAATTGGTGACTAGGACCTATGACAGGCATCTTCCCTCTTCCCACATGCACGATTCTTTTGGAATACTGGCAGCATAGACATACCTGCTTTTCAGTGGCCGTGGTGCACTTTCCAGTTAGTGGATTATTAAGGACTATAGTGTAGGTCATGGTTCTCAGTTGGTCACCTCCAGGCTCTACATTCCAAGGGGTAGATACTATATCTAATCACAGCAAATATAAAAAGAGTTAGTTCTAGAAATTTGAGGGGTATGGCTTGGAATGGAATCAAAGAGGGAGTTTTTGAATTATTTCAATTTTTATTTTTGACCAATCCTAACTTCCTTATAATTGTGTTATTAGTTTAACATTAAACAAGAGTAAAATCACATGTTAGGCACTCTTCTTGTATGTGACATACGCCCCATCTCTGATCCATTTACTTCTAAATTGTAGTCTATTAAAAAACTTTTTTCTGTTCTCTAGAAGATAAAATTAAAAGTCATTTCATCAGTAGGCTTCTTTTTAAAGTCCCCAGTACCTACAAAGAGAAGTAACGGTGCTGGCCTTATTAAACAGAGATAGAACACTTCAACATTTCCATCACTGAGGACAAGACCTTGAATTATGCAGCAACATGATCTGATCCCAACTTGTGGGGAAATCACGTCGATGAGAAATCATGTAGTGTTAATGGTTTATCTGCTGAGATCTTTAATCAAGGAGGGAGCAATGGAATATAAATAAACCATGTAACCTTTTCTATATGAAGAAAGCTATAGAATAATCTCTCTGCATTTATGGCAAGATCTTGGTCAAAATTCTCTTTTATTTACTTAGCAACAACACGGTGAGTAAAAATACACTCTGAACGGAAACGTATCTGTAGAACATAGCACCATACATTAACAAAGGTCCTTTAACAAGCGAACCACTAGGAAAATATAGGTAACAGCATCATGAAATCCATTCAAAGATCTGACTAAGCTGGTTAATGTTGTTGGCACAGTGGATTTAGGCAATTAGTATATCTGGCTGCTATTCATCAATGTCCTAAAACATAGGAGCATTTCTCTAACCCACTACCCATCATCAAGGGATTGAAGCAAGGCTTTATGATATATCCAATTTTGTTCAACTTCTTTCATTTACTTAGGCCTAGAGATTTAATAAGGGATCCTGAAGCTGCCTTTTGCATATCTAGAAAAATTGTGCAAGCAAATTAAAAAGGCAACATTACAAACCATGGGATCTACAATACAGAATTTGCTGTAAAAATGATTTATTCAGTTGTCCAAGAAAGAGATATAAAATTAATTATAAAATACTTTTCAAAAGATCATTTTAGTCATAGGTCAGCCTGTTTCAGAAAAATTATACAAATAGTCCATTGTTAATCAGCAACAGAATTTAAAGATATCATTGAATTCTGCCATTAAAACTGCACACCATTCAACAAAGCAACTATCAACAAAGATGAAAGTGTCTCTTCCACTTGTATCTTCACCAATGTTGCCAACAAACCTACTGAACATAATGTGCCAGAACATCGTCTACTTCAGAGACAGAAAGTAGAACAGTGGTCATCAGGAGTTGGGGAGAGGGGGAAGTGGACAGTTATTGTTTAATAGGTACAGAGTTTCAGTTTGGGAAGATGAAAAAGTTCTAGAGATGGCTGCACAACAAAATGTGAATGTACTTAATGCCACGGAATTGTACTTAAAAATGGCTAAAACAGTAAATTTTATGTTATGTACATTTTACCACAAGAAAAAAGATTGGTGAATCTAGGTAATGGGTATAGGTTTTATTATACTATTCATGCAACTTTTCTGAAGGTTTACATTTTTTTCAAAATTAAAAAGTTGAATAAAAAGACTCAAAACTGAGCTTTGAATTACAAAAGTAGTGTCATACAATAGTAAACAAAGATTTAGAAGAATCCAATTTAGATCATTTTTATTGAAAATCATTAAGAATTACCATCATTTTTAATAATTTAAAATCATTATTAAAAAATAGATCCAGCAGTAGCCATTTTAATGCTGAAATTAGGTTAAATCCACAAATAACTGACCATACTAAACTTTCCCATTAAATTCTTGATATTTTTAGAAAGGAGACTTTGAGATCCATTCTCAAGAAACACAACTTTGATTACTAGGTAACAAGTTCAGAAGATAACGTAATAGCGTGCAATCAGAAGCAGATTATCTCTTTTGGGGCAAACCTTCTGACTAATTCTAGGTCTAAAGGCAACATGCCTATCCCATTTATACTTGTGATTAGCCAGAAGGCTTTGCTGCCCAAAGCCATTTATAGCATCAGATAGCAAACACAGTCATCCATATTGAAGCTAGATATGATATCAGACACCAAATGCAGCTATGATTCAAAAAACAAACTTCATTTAGTACCAGCGTGGAATAACATGCTAGTTTCTTGTGGGCCTTTTCAGCCATAAAAATAGTGGTGCAATATCAACAGGCATCATCTTAGAAAATTAAGAGAAATTATGTATCCTACTCTTCTGAAATAGCAAGTTCTCCAGGTAGACATGAATGGCAAAAAGATACAAAATAGATTCAAAACAGATATAATAAGTTAAATATAAGCTACTGAGCGAAAAGATTTATATCCCTCAGGTATTATACATTTTTAAAACTGGAAGAACTGGGGCTTCCCTGGTGGCTCAATGGTTAAGAATCCGCCTGCCAATGCAGGGTACACGGGTTCGAGCCCTGGTCCAGGAAGATCCCACATGCCACGGAGCAACTAAGCCCGTGCACCACAACTACTGAGCCTGCGCTCTAGAGCCGGTGCTCCGCGATAAGAGAAGCCACCGCAATGAGAAGCCCGCGCAACGCAACAAGGAGTAGCCCCCGCTCTCCGCAACTAGAGAAAGCCCACACACAGCAACGAAGACCCAATGCAGCCAAAAATAAATAAAATCAATAAGTTAAAAAAAAAAACTGGAAGAACTGAAAAAAGTAATGATTTTAAAAAACATGACACTCTTAATATAATCACAAGACTCAATAGCTATCAATTAGAAACTGCTTTGCTACTCTACTATAAATAATAAGGAAAAATTACTCTTTACAACTGAACCTATATCAATGATATAATCTATGAATATGTAATTATGTTTACATAAAAGTTTCAAATAAAGGAATAACATCTAATCGTTAATAAAATGGCTAAATTATAGACTATATTTAAATTGATTGTAGAATAACTTCCTCTTTGACTATGTCGAATGACTCAGCTTATATGGATCTCTGCCACTGCTGATTTCTAATTTTATATAGCAAGCTAAACCACATGCTCCCAAAGTTTCTAAAATATCTTGAAATATTTAGGATAAATTCAATTTCAAATTGACTATAAGCTTATTTGAGATGTTTACCAAAATAGAACCTTTAATACATAATCAATAAAATCTTTTTTATAACTAACTTCCTAACTGGATTTTTTTTTTTTTTGGTATTTTCATTAAGGTAGACCATAGACACTGCAATCTCAAATTTCCATGAATTTGCACAGAGAAAACACACACGTGTACCACTACCCAGATCAAGACAGAGAACTTTACCAGCATCCCAGAAGCCCCCTCCCAGTCTTTACCCACCCAATTACCAACTGCAGTTAACTAGTATGCTGATTTTATGCCCATAAATAAGTTTTACTTGTTTTTGAACTTAATATAAAGAAATCACAGTATGTACTCTTTTGTGTCTGGCTTCTTTTGCTTAATACTACAGAATATCAGTAAGATTTACTCGTATTATTATAAGTAGCAGGGTTTTTTTTTCATTGCTATACAGTATTCTTTTGTGTGAACGTACACAGTCTGTTTATCCATTCTATTATTGGTGGATATTTGGGCTGTGTTTTGAGTTTGGGGGCCATTATAAATAATGCTGCTATGAACACTGCAGTACATGTCATTCAGAATACACATGTACCCATTTCTGAAGGTTATATATACCTAATAGTAGACTCGCGGAGTCAGCTTTAGTAGATACTGCCAAACCATTTAGCAAAGTGATTGCACCAATTTATACTCTACTAGAATCCAATTTTTCCACAGTAGAACCCTTTTAAAGGTGGTTCAACCCAACTAAACTGCTACATTAATAAATAAATGGAGTTTTAGTTCTCAAAGGGTCTGAACTTAATTGTAGGTAGGACCTGACTAATTGGACAATTATACTACTTACATGTGATTTTAGCCAAAACACCTAAACACTAGTTTATACATCACCAAAATAAAATGGAAGCCTGTCTAAATTTTCCCCTTGACAACATAAATCAATTTACACAGGCTCAAACCTCTAAGGATAATAAAATTCTCCCAAATTTATCATTAGATAAGAACACAAGACCAACCTATTATATTTCTAGAACTGGCAAATATCTGCATAAAGCGTGAACTGGTGAACAGCAATTCAAACATTCTCTCAGCACTGATATGAAAAACACGGTTGATATAAAGTCTTCCATGAAGATCGTTCTCAGGAATATTTTCTGGGGAAACAAAAAACATGGAACAAAGAGTGAAGAAATCAAGGAAAGGTAATTTCAAGGTTTTGTTTTGTTTGTTTTGGGCACAAAATGGTTTTTAAATGTGATTACAATGATCAGCACATTACAGGACACTATTAAAACTCTAAATTGGTATTATATACATATGTACTATGTATAACTATACATAATAGTATATAGTAATTAAACTATACACGATCAATAGTTCAGTCAAAACCCAAAAGACATAGACATATTTAACTTGAATATCAAACTACCATAATATATCATTCAAAAGAATATTTCATGAATTTGTGTGTCATCCCTGTGCAGGGGCCATACTAATCTTCTCTGTATCATTCCAATTTTAGTATATGTGCTGCCACAGCGAGCACTCAAAAAAATATTTCAAGAGTGACAAAGGCAGTAATGAGACACATAGGGTGGTATCTACCACGGTGAATAGCAGGTCCCATTTCTGAATACGCAAACATTCGGTAATTACTAAGTCATGAATGACTCGAATATCTCTCTGCTGCACTCACTAACTTACTAGCCTGAACAGTGTTTCAAATTTGACTTGAAGCTCACTCCCCCAAGACAAGTATCACTGTATCCACTACCTACTCTCAATACCACACATTAAAAGAAATCCTTCTGAAAAGTATTCTTCAAAGCTAAATAAAGCCCAACGGAATATTACATTTTTCTAAGAATCTGACAGCGATAATTATGTTGAAAACTCCTGGTAGCAAATGAAGAAGCAACATCTGCTCACCTCTCCTCATGTTCCCTGGAAACACTGCATAAAACAGCCCAGGAATCTATGGTACTTAGCATATGGCAGGTATCGTGTTAAGCACGTTACAAATATTCACTCATCTTATCCTCACAGCAATCCTGTGAGATAAGAGGTATTAACATCTTCATCTCCATCGTACAGAGGAGAAGACTGAGACACTGAGAGAATTGCTGAAACTCGCCGAAGCTCTGTGGCTAGTGAGTGACTGAATGGGAATTTGAATTCACCGTAGCTCCAGAGCACACAAACTAAACCTCTATTTTATAGTTCAAGGAGTTTAACTTAGAAGAATTAAAAGGAAATGAAAAAAAAAAAAGGGACATCTAGGAATAGGAGCCTGGTAGAATAAAGGAAATAGAATAAAGCAATCCAATGTGAAATTTTAATGATTTCAGGGCTGGGATTATTTATTATTTCAAGGATTATGCCTGTCAGTACAGAATGACAACTGTGACAAAAGCTCCCCACAGTTCACAAATCAAGCTCTAAGAATTATCTGTGTCAAGCATCTGTCCATGTTAAGCCATGAGAAGCAGTCACTTAAAGTAAAAGATAGTGGTTTAAGCATCAGAAAAACTCTTCTAGCTCTGCCTTCACCCCAGCTGTTGGTTTTTGTCCCTCATGAAATGGTTTGTGTCTCCCTATTTTGCTACAGGTGCAAAGAACTTAGGGACATCGGGTAGATACTGATTTACCTTCTCCCTGCAACAATACTATGTGTAGGCAAAAGCTATTCACTGCAATTTCAAGTAATGGCTACTTGGGCATAGAAATGAATCACTGAAACTAGGCAATTAACTAAGGTTCTGTGAGGCAACTTCCTAATTAGGCTTGAGAAATAGCTTTTTCTGACATAGAAGTAATACATGTTCATTGTAAAAATAATTCATGTATTCACAAAGAAACAAACAAGTACACATGATTCTATTAATCCTGCTCGTCACCTTCACAGAACTTATCCCAACTTGTAATTATATTTTTATTGGCTTAGTGACTTGTGTATTGTCTCTCTCCTGCACTAGACTCTAAGTTCTCTGTGGACAGGGATCATGTTGATTTCAAACACCTAAGTACATTACATGTTTGGCACACAATAAGTGTTAAATAACTTTTTGAATGAATAAGTGACTATTGAAAACGCAAAAAATCTTAGGGTCTACTTTTATCTATAAGACTTTAAATTTGCAATCATATTTTTAAACTTTTTATTTTTTAAGAATTTTAGAGGTACAATTAACTAAACTAGGCTTTATTCCTATTTTTTCCAGTAATGTCCCTTTCTGTTCAAGAACCCAACACAAAGTCCCATGTTGAATTTAGTTGTTATCTTCTTAGTCTCCTCCAGTCTATGACAGTCCCTCACTTTTTCCTTGTTTTTCAGTGCCCTTATACATTTGAAAAGTACAGGTCAGGTATTATATAGAATGTCCCTCAATTAGGGTTCATCTGAGGTGGGTTCTTTTCACGATTAGACTGGGGTTTGGATTTTGGGGAAGAATACCACAGAGATGAAGTACCCTTCTCTTCAAACTCAGGGTGTACACATATCCGCATGACTTATGATGATGTTAACCTTGATCACTTGGTGGTGTCTGGCAGGCTTCTCCACTTCAAAAGTATTATTTTCCTCTTTCCACATTCTATTTGTTAGAAATGAGTCACTAAGTTCCGCCCATACTCAAGGGGAGGAGAATTAAGCTCCACCTCCTGGAAGGGGGAGTATCTACATATATTATTTGGAACTCCGTAAGGAAGACTCGTGCTTGCTCCCCCATTTATATATTTATTCAATCACTGGTATCAGTATGGACTTATGAATAATTATTTTATACTTTAGGTTATAATGCAGTATTATCATTATTTATTTTGCTGCTCACATTTTTTTTGGTTTGGCCATTAGAAGCTCTTTCAGGTTGACTCCTATGTCCTTTCGACATGCCTCTTTTTTTCTTTTTCAAGCACTTCTTTATATTCTGGCACTACAAGATGTTCCAGGTTCATTTTGTATATCCCCCAACTGGGCCCTAGAAGCAGCCATTTCTCTAAGGAGTCCTGGAACTATAATTTTCCAAAAGTAAGTTTCCTGTTCACATTTAAGAAGGACATAAATTACACTTATATAAATATTTCAACACAATATCTTCATATTTCATTTAAACTCCATTATTCGATAAAATGTTCTATATCATGACTGATAAAACATAATCTGTGGTATTGCTGCTGGAAATTAACAATAATACTTTTTGTATGTAAATGTGTTTGAGGAAGTAAGGATATGAAATAAACTATTTCCACCTAGGATTATTTTTTTTAATATTTATTTATTTGGCTGTGCCGGGTCTTAGTTGCGGCATGTGGAATCTTTGTTGCGACGTGCACGATCTTTAGTTGCGGCATGCATGAGGGATCAAGTTCCCTGACCAGGGATCGAACCCGGACCCCGGCATTGTGAGCGTGGAGTCTTAACCGCTGGACCACCAAGGAAGTCCCTGGGATTATTTATTTATTAAATTCATGGTACTTTAAAGCTTCCTACCTAAATAACATCACCAATAATATTGCTGGAAATTTATTAAGCTAGCAGGTGGCATTTTAAATGGGGAAAGGAACACTGCTCAACTTAGTAGCAGGTTACTATTTCCAATAAAGAAGAAATACTATTTCAAGCATATAAGTTTGAAAGTGGCCAGTGGAAATCGTGGGAAAATTGAGACGTAAGTATGAAAAGGACCTGGACATGAATAAAACTTAAACCAGATGTTGATAGTATTTTGAGGATGTGTGAAAAATGTATTAGGTAGGTATGCAAGAAAATTAGGTAATTTGGAGTTTAACTGAGTAACTAAGGACACACAATTTTTTTTATCTTCCATTTTCTAAAAATGGGTGATTAGGGCTCACATGCAATACAGAAACTACAACACTATTATTCTTTGTTTATTTCTAGATAAAGACACAGCTTATGTGAGTTTTAATGTTACCCTTTAATCATTAATGTTAATTTTATAGGAACTCAATAAAGAAAGTAAGGCATTTTTTTTAAAGGACCATACTTATAAAAGAGCAGGTGAGAAAGAAGGGGGAAAAAAAAAAAATCCCCGTTTTGCTGTCACTTACGTGTCTGGCCACTGGGTGCCAGAGTAGATCTTCCTACAGTTAGAGGTTCAAGCAGGCAGGGGATAACTAATTCACAGGGCTGCGTACCCAAGCATGAATGGTAAAGACACCAAGAGAGTCTAGTCATTCCTGGTGCTTGACCCTTTAATAAAAAAAACTTCCTGTCAACTATCTTTTCAAAAGAACACATCAACTGTCTTCTTAATGCATTCTATGATATTTTAGGGACTTGTTTATTTTTATTTACATTTTTAAGAGCGTGGGTTTAGTTTTCATCAGAGATGCTTCAGTGTTTCCAAACCAAGGTTGAATCTGATTTGGATTTGGTTTTCAAGGATTTGGTCTTGGTTTTGTTTTGGATTTGGATTTGATCTTAGATTTGGACGTGATTTGGATTTGATTTCGATTTGCCTTGGATCTAGTTTTAGTCTTCATGGATTTAGTAAACAGCCTTCAGGGGCTCCCAAACCAGGTCTAAGCCGAACAGTAAGTGGACTAGCAAATACAATCATGCCAGACAGATCCAAACCACTACAACATCCCCATCACCAATATTCTGGCAGGAATATTAATATAACATGCTGGTACAAAAGCAGGTATAGCAAAACTCCACTGGCATTACTCTGTTCTTGAAATTTGAAAGTAGTCACTACCCTAGAACTTTCCCATTGTCTCCTCACTTCACTGACTTCAGTGTCAATAATCTTACAGCTAAAAAGAAAAAAATTCCTTGAAATGCCCATTTGATAAGCATGACAAGCCCTAGGTTATTGGTTCTAACTTAAGAGAAAGTAAAGAGAATATGATTTGCTATAAAGTTTCCCTTAAGCAACTGCTTTTTATTTTTATTATATTCTCTACTTTTGAATCTCTCTCTCTTTCTCTTTTTTTTTTTTGTGGTTAAGGAAAGTAGTAAAATTATAGTGTTGCACCATGAAGATTTTTATTATGATTTTTTTAAACTCAAATGGTATTAAAGACTCGAATGTAAGACCTGAAACCATAAAACTTCTAGAAGAAAACATAAGCAGTATATTCTTTGACAGCTTTCTTAGCAGTATTTTTTTGTGTATATCACCTCTGGCAAGATAAATAAAAGCAAAAATAAATAAATGGGACTAGATCAAACTAAAAAGCTTTTGCACAGTGAAAGAAACTATAATCTAAATGAAAAGGCTGACTAGAATGGGAGATGACATTTGCAAACGATATATCTGATAAGGGGTTAATATCCAAAATATACAAAGAACTCATACAACTCAACAACTGAAAACCACCTGATTAAAAAATGAAATGAGTAGAGGACCTGAATAGACATTTTTCCAAAGAAGACATACAGATGGCCAACTGGCACATGAAAAGATGCTCAACATCACTAATCATCAGGGAAATGCAAACCAAAACTACAATGAGGTACCACCCCACACCTGTCAGAATGGCTGTCATCAAAAAGACAGCAAATGACAAGTACTGGGGAGGATGTGGAGAAAAGGGAACCCTTGTGCACTGTTGGTGGGAATGTAAACTGGTGCAGTTACTATGGAAAATAGTATGTAGGTTCCTCAAAAAATTAAAAATAGAACTACCATACAATCCAGCAATTCCACTCCTGGGTATTTACCTGAAGAAAACGAAAACACTAATTCAATAAGATATATGCACCCCACTATGTTCACTGTAGCATTATTTACAGTAGCCAAGATATGGAAGCAACCTAAGTGCCCATCAACAGATAAATGGATAAAGAAGGTAAATGGATAAATGGATAAAGAAGGTGTGGTGTGTGTGGGTGTGTGTGTGGGTGTGTGTGTGTGTGTACACACACATATATATATATACACACACACCCACACACACACCCACACACACACACAATGGAATATTACTCAACCATAAAAAAAGAACGAAATCTTGCCGTTTTTGACATAGATGGACCTAGAGCGTATTATGCTTAGTGAAATAAGTCAGACAAAGACACATACTGTACGCTTTCACTTATATGTGGAATCTAAAAAAACAAAACAATGAACAAACGTAACAGAAACAGAGTCATAGATACAGAGAACAAACAAGTGGTTGCCAGAGGGGAAGGAGGTTGGAGGAGGAGAAAAACAAGTGAGGGAGATTAGAAGCACAACATCCAGTTACAAATGAGTCATGGATAAAAAGAAAAAAATTGCTTTTCCCTTGCTACTGCTTCATCTCCCCCATCTTAAGGCTTGGGACATTAAAAGCTAAACGTGATGAAGATTTTCAAATTCCAGGCTTCTGAAAAGTGGAGAGAGGTTAGATTTAGCAACCCCTTCCCTCTATTTCTTATTAACTTCCATCCTTTTTTGGTTCATTATAGAGTGAGACTGTATCTACTGCAAAAAACAAATGCTCAATTTGCACACATCTAATATAAAAGTAAACATTAAAAGACGTAACTGAAATTTTACTAAAATTTATAAGAAATTCTTTACCTTCATCAACAGAATCTGAAGTACTGCTTTTGTCCAAAGAAAGATATTCATTTTTATTCAAGTCCAGTGATTTTGATGACAGTCTACTTAACCTCTTTTCTGAAGTTAGTGAAGGACTTTTGATCTGTTTCTCACTTTGGGGTTCCTCTTTCCCTAACCCCTAAAAAGCAAACAATGAGATCTTTAATAATAAAGACACTTTGAAATATTGCTTTTTGAAAAAATTGTTATGTTTGTATCACATTTCCAATTCAGTCCAAAAAATATTGGTAGATAACACAGACTATCCTAAAGTCATCTTCTTATACATTAATGAACAATAAATTTATGAAGAACATCACAAAAAAAGAACTCACAGACAATTAACAACATGTGAATCACTTAGGTCGAAGAGAAAGGGGACAAAGGACAAAAATAATAGAACAGTCAGTTCTTTGGGGTGTGAAAAGGAAAGGAGTCAAACCCAGTTAGTTTCCCCAGACAATACCTGCCCCATCACCTCAAGGAAGAGAACTCACCCATCTCTTAAGACCAGTAACTAAAGGGGAAAGGGAAAGAAAAAAGAGAGATAAAAGTCACATAAGAGTACAGTGAAGGAGAAAAGATTAAAAGGGAAAATTAATTTCACAGCAAACCCATAAGAACAGAGTTGGCTTTGCTGTTAAGGGACTAAGGAATTGGGCATTAAAATATATTCAATATATACCGCTATCCATACTTACTGGGAATGGCTTAATAAAGATATGTCATTTCTATAATAAATTTAATATTAGGCATTAAAGTATGAATGCTACTGCTATGTTAGTAGTATTCAAGTAGAACAGTATTATAATTAGGCTTAATAGAACAGTGTGATAAATATAAACTACACAGCAACGTACTTTCTTGCATTGTCTGTGGATAAGCAGATGAAAGAGAGCAAAAGTGTATCTATAACTTCCTGCCCCATGAGATCCTTGAGCAGCACTTAACAACAGAAGCAGCTCCAGGGAGGAGACCAGTTTCCATTGGCCGCTCAGAAAGCAGAATAACAACCGGGCCCCAGGACTCAATTTATTAAAGGATTATACTATCCTAGTCGAGGATTGATTTTTTCAATCAGAGAGTATTGTTAAAATCAACACTTGATGTATTTCGGAGTTCCACACTACGAAGCAACAGGTTTATTAGCTGACCCAGGGTCTCTTTAGATGCTAAGTAGAGTAACTTTCCACACATATCACTCCTGTTGTTTCTAATTAAGATAAAGTTCCTATTATAAAGAACATGGACAGATACTTATAGGAAAAGTAACAGTCCCTATCTTTGAATGGTTCGCATCTGGACAATTTTTATTTCTTTGTATATTTTTCTATATTTCCTGATTTTTTACAAAGAGTATTAAGTTTATAACTTAAGAAAAACCTATTTTATTCTTGGAAAAAATGTTATTTCTAACTTTTTGTTACTTCCAACTTTGTTGGAAGTAAAAATGAAACAAATGAAGTGACATATGATATTCATGATATCTGAGAATCTCACTTTACTGCTCTTGAGTGCAAAAGGAAAAAAAGAACCAAACTTCTAAATTACTTGTATTCCATAACCTGAAAGCATCTATACTAAACATCAATGAATATATAATCAATCTTAAAACATTAAATTATTCCTCTACATTCCATTCCCTTTCATTAGAGAACATATGACTTCCTTTAGGGACAAAACTAGAAGCAAGGACCAATAGGTTAACTGTCCCAAGAGCAGGTACAGAAGACATTGTCTGAGAACCCAGTCCTCAAAGTCAGACTTTTGTAAAAGGAGGAGGGGACTGTTAGAGATCCCCTGTCCTGTTACCACCCCAAAATTGAGTGGTTTGGTCTTCTCGGTGAGAACGTACAAGGGGATTAGCATTCAGAATCACCTCCCTTACACCAGCAGTAAGTTCCTAAGGGTCTCTTGATGAATAAGTTTTACGTGAAATCCACAACACAAAATCAGACTGAGATAGGTGCGTGATAATTGCCTGAGACAAGTTTATAACTTGGTGGCCTTTTACATAAATATATTCTGTTTCAACGTTTCCCCAACATTTATTCACAGCAGATGCTGGGAGCTCGAGAGAAGGTAGAAAAAGTCCACTGCTGGCCACACACAGATTCACCTTCAATCATAATAGCTTATGGTTATTGAATACTTAATATGTGCTAGGGACTGTTCAATGCATTTTCACATATATTAATTCATTTAGTCCTTATTAAAAAACCCTGTGGGGTAAGTGTCCTCATCTTATAGTTGAGAAAACAAAAGCATAGAAAGGTTAAGGAATTAAGTTAATTTATTTAAGGTCATACAGTTAGCAAGTGGCAGAGGTAGGATTTGAAGCCAATGCTCTGATCTAAAACAAGAAATTCAGCATTGGCCCCAAACTTGCATCCCCAATCAGAAGAACAAAAGTTGTACACTCTTAGCACTCAGAATGTGGCCTAAGTACCATTCTTCATTAAAACTATGGCTCATTAGAAAAAATGGCTGATACTAAGTCTGGGACAGAAAGTATACAAACGACACATTATTGTACCAGAAAGAAAGGAAGTCATCAAAGATTATTGATTATTTCAAAAGGACAAAGGAGCCAACCTGAAGGGGCTCCCATTGGCAGAGGGGACAAACTGAGTATAAAATGTAGTAACAGGGCTTCCCTGGTGGCGCAGTGGTTGAGAGTCCGCCTGCCGATGCAGGGGACGCGGGTTCGTGCCCCGGTCCGGGAAGATCCCACATGCCGCGGAGCGGCTGGGCCCGTGAGCCATGGCCGCTGAGCCTGCCTGTCCGGAGCCTGTGCTCCGCAACAGGAGAGGCCACAACACTGAGAGGCCCACGTACCGAAAAAAAAAAAAAAAAAAAAAAGTAGTAATAATAATGACTTCAAGTGATAGAAACTCACTGAAATTAAAAAAAATTGAAGGGCTTATAATAATACTTGAAAACATAAAGAAACTAACTAACTATGAAGCCCAGTAATTAACTGGATGTGCCTGCTTTAGTAATCAGCTTAACAAGCATCTATTGTTATTCAAGCATGGTGCTCAGAGTTCTCCTCTCCCCTTCAAAACAGATTCTTTCCACTACGCACACTACCTACTACGGGAAAAATTCTGCTAACTATGAATTTCTCCACCTTATTATATTTTTAATGATGTCTATCCCCCTTACAGACTGACGCTCAGGGAGCTGCCTGGTAACTCTGCACCATATCCAGCTCTGAACAGAACCACATATTATTCCCATACAACCTCTGCAACTTACAGGCTTAAAACTCTTGGCCTAAAACACAAGAGCAGCCTGACATCTTAAGTTTTTAAACATTTTGTATATTGTATTTTTCTTTTCTCTTCCATTGTGATGAACACATGGCAGTATCAGACAGATTTTAAAAGGTCCATTGTGATGAACACATGGCAGTATCAGACAGATTTTAAAAGGGATATCATATACTAACCCCTTTTTGTGGATTTACATCAATTGACTCTGTTTCTGAAACCCGACTAATTGATTCACGGGTAAAACTGATCGGCTTGGATAATTTCTCATCTCTCTCCCCACAGTCATCCAAGCTGCTTCTTCTTGGACTTCTGTAAGAAACACATCATAGAAACATAAACGAGGTCACTTCCGCACAAACAGCTGATTCAGTCTCCTCACTGAGGTCCTTTTCTATTATAAAGCATTTGGACAACAAATTTTTTTTTGTAATGTAACAAATAAGCTTCTACTTATAACCAAGCTATCTTCTTAAATCACACGCAAATTGACTTCACTGCTGAAAATAAAATACGCTCATATAAGATTTTATAAACTTCAGAAACCATTAAGAAATTAACCAAGTACAAGTGGCCGTAACAGCAACTAATAAAATGAATGTTGCTTATTTAAATTGCAGTTGCAGACAATGAAGAAGCTTCGAAAGGTGCAGGGTAGGTGTTTGAGTTGGATGCCAGGCAACACCGGAAGGCAGTTCTAGATCTCGTCTCCTTCCTTCAGATTCAGTACCAGCTGAGACGGCACATCACTCCAGGAAGGGGAAGCTCCTGATGTCTGAGCACAGAGCCCATCCATCAAACCATGCCTCCCTTCTTGTTCTTCTCGTTCCTGAGAACAGGAATTCCTAAGGTTAAAGGAAAAGCTTTCAAATGGTCATAGGAACAAGATTACAATAAATGTCTTGGGACCTTCTTTTCCTCTTTCAGGGAGTGGGGGGAAAAACAGGAAAGTGTATTAAATATAAAAGCAGCACAATGGATCTAATTTCCAGACCTCAACTTTATTGAGCAATTAGCATTCCCATGTAATCATTGCTATGTTTAGACTTAAAGCTCTCCTAAAATAAACTGGCTGCCTGACATGTGAATCCATATTATCCTGACAAAGAGACAGAAAAGCTAAAAAAGCCTATTCTACTCCACCCAAATAATACTTAGGTCTACTACTCAGTTACTCCTGGCCGGACAGAATAGCAGGACTCTGAGGGAACTAAACAAGGAAAACGGCTCCTGGAGACAAGACCACCAGCTGAGTGTCTGTACTTGAGGATTTTAAGGATGGAGGTGGATTGTGGAGAAATGAAGAAAAAAAGAGGAAGGAGAGTGAAGGAAAGATTGAAAGTGAAAAGAAAGAAGATGGAAGAGCTGAGGAAATACAGGTGTGAGGTAGATATGCTTCTCTCAGAGATTGGAAGAATGGGAAAAAGAGCAGAAGAGGGAATGAGGATCCAGGGAAGTCCCAAGCCTAGTAAACTTTACAAGGAGAGTAGTCCAATGGAAATTTTTAACTTTACAGAAAACTAATAAAATATACACGTGTAACCATGTAAAAAAGACCATAAAATATTAATGCTGAGCTGACACAATATAAATAGGATCAGTATAACTAGAAGACTTATCTAGATAGAATAAAATCTTTGTACACACATGAGACTTTGAAAGATTTCCACCTTAAGACTTATTTACTACAGAATTTTTAAATAAATAATTTACCTAATTTTTTATTAAGGTATAATTCATATATCATAAAGTTCACCCCATTTAAAGTATACAATACAGTGATTTACAGAGTTGTGCAGTCATCACCACTATTTAATTTTAGAACATTTTTATCACCCCAAAAGAAGCCCTGTGCCCATCAGCAGTTGCACTCCCCACACTCCCTTTCTCCCAGTCCCTGGCAACTGCTCATCTACTTTCTATCTCTATGGCGTTACTGATTCCGGACTCTATTTCATATAAATAGAATCATACGATATGTGGTCTTTTGTGACTGGCTCCTTTGACTTAGCATAATGTTTGCTCTAGAATTTTCATGTATTATCCTTAGTTGTTTTTATTGCTCTGACCTCAATCACCACTGGACAAAAAGCACTTTTATTTGTACAGGTTAATAATAATGTCCACTCTTCCAAGTGAATTCCCATCAGTCAAAAATAATCTCTCTCCACTCTGAATTTTTCCCACATTATCTATTGCTCTTTTTGGCCCTTATCATTTCCAACCCTGTATTATAATTATTTGCATTCCCTGTAGCGCTATAAGCTCCTTTCATTAATGCATTCAATATTTATTGAGTGCCAACTACATGTCAAGTACTACGCTAGGGTATCCTTGAGGAAAAGTCATATTATCTTTCTATCCCTTAAAATATCTTCCAGCTACTTTTCTTTATTGTTATCTATAGGTGCAGAGATTTCACTAGGTACTTCTCCATATCCTTAATAAAAAGGTTTAGTAACCCCATGCTTTAAGCAAATCCTAGATGACACAGTTACAAAGTGAACATTTCCTCATCTGCCCTGTATTTGCTTACCAATTTAGCAAACTATTCACTGTCCTCACCTTTCACTCATTCCACTACAGAGAAGCAAGAGGCAAATTTCACTGGATGGTGAATAAATAGAAAGCCTGAATTAGTAAAGTCTAAAATAATTCTGCTTTGATTAATGAGGAATAAATCTTGACATTTCAAGACACTTTGCAGTACCTTGGCTGCACATTATCCTCAATCGACAGGGACAAGTTCTCCATCTCTTCAGCATTTAAGCCTAGCTCAGTGCCATAGTTCTGCTGGAGCAGCTGCCAGACTTCCTGTCTGGTCAAGCTCTAGAATGACAGAAAGATTACCCTGACTATTGGAAAACAGAACATAGTATACAACATAGTGATTCAAAACATGAATTCTGAAGTCAAAATGACCTGTTATGCAGTTACTAGTATATGGTTTTGTTAGTTATTTCACCTTTCTAGATATCAGTTTCTGTATCTATAAAAAGTGGGTTAACAAAACGTATCCGACATAGTTGATACTGGGAATAGGTAGATGATGATTTTAAAGTGTGTAACATAATAACTACTGTCAATGGGTGTAAGACATTTAAAACCCTCTTTTTATAAAATAATTTGTTCATCCTTTCTGGCAATTACTAATCTGTGATTTAAATTCTGCAATCCAACCAGGATGACTGGATCACCATTCAGAATACCAAATGTCAGTTCAGAATCCCTCCCCTTAATTCATAATGTATCTGAATATTTTAACTATATTTGAAACCTCACATATGAGTAAATTTTAAATTATATTTTCCTAAAATATAAAATGCAAGAGTCTGGAATTCAGAATATTTGTTTTTATTTTTATTTATTTTTGATAAAGTCCAGCTTGTTCTTTCTTTGTAGGTATCATATCAGTGTTAAATAATCTAATATAAAAAATGCATGTGTTACAAAGGAAAACAAAAACGATAGTAGTATGACAACTAACAGTCTGATTTTTAGAAACATTATGGATGGTTAATTACATAATTAAGCAAGGTAGAGGGAGGCAGCATAACACTTGAAGCAACTGTTGCCAAGATTCTTTACATCTCTTTCATTCAACAGATATTTATTTAGAACCTGCCACATGTGTATCACTGCACTAGATGCTAAAACGGATAAAAGTGATGTCCTACTTGCTCTCAAACAACTATAATTTAGTTGAAGAAACACTGCAAACTTTTAAGTAAAAGTTAAATATGACAAGCTATATCATTATTATGTACTAAAGAACTGGTAGAATCAACATGATATAGAAATCTAAAGGAAAGAAATATTACTGTGGTTTAGGGTGATCAGATAAGGCTTCACATTGCAGAAGGGTCTTCAGCTAAGCTGAAGGAAGGACATAAATAGAGGAAATGGAGAAATAAAAAAATTTGGGAGAGGGAAGCTACATAAAAATATAGAATAAAATACATGAAAAACATAAGCAATATTTGTTTTGAAGTCAGTTATCAATTTATCAGACTGATCAGAGTAAAAATTTTAAGTGGGTAAATAGTAGCGATAAATATAGGGAAATTTTATGGGGCAAAAACATACAGACACCTTGAATTCCTCGCAGATATTCCCAATGACAAATACCACACTTCCTTTTTTCTTTTTCCCCGTTTCTCCTCTCGGTCTAGTAGCTATGGTATCTTTGTTTGTTACATTATACTAGATGACCTTCATTACATTTCATGGAAACTCAAAGATATTAAGAACAGAATTTCTGCACTTTAGACTGCTAGTTCCCAGATGACTAAGATTCCATAAGAGCAGTTGTTGAAACTTCAGATGTTACTATCAGTATTTCAAAAAGTCAAAAATATCCAAACAGTTACCTACAATAAAGTTTTTCAAGCTAGGTAAAATGTAAGGCCTCTTCGTTCGGAGCTGAATTATATTAACCTAGAGTGGTTATCTCAGGCTGATAAGAAACTCTCGTTGGAAATAATGTATCCCTAATAAATGATAATGTTCTAACATTTTATTATTTAATATACACCACTTATTTGGTTGACAAAAAGTCTTTTGAAGCACAGTGTCCATAGAAGAAAAAAAGGATCACTAGTGGTAGAGAAAGAAACCACTGTTCTTGATCCTAAAGGTACCCACACACATTTCTGATCCCCACTCCAGAAGAACCATTTGTGAATGGCTTTTTTTTTTTTTCACAATAGCAGTTAGCTCATACTAATAATTAGCTCAATATTCCAAAGATGTTATCTTTGAAACAATTTTAGTGTCATAAATGCATGGTTAACTTTATAAAGAGAAACAATATTTCAATATACTTGTGGAAGATTAACCTTTTATAAAAAGTCTTCTGAAATAATAGGTATCAAAGTATTCCAAAAACAAACTAAAGCAAGTAGATAAACAATGAGCTAAACACTCAGACAGCATTCTAAGAGTGAAAGAAATGAAACTTATAAGTAAAATAGTAACAACAAAAATACAATTTTATTTGACTACATCAATAAATCTTTTAAATATATTATCAAATACTATCAGGAAGTTAATAGCAGAGTAATTTCAACATACTTTTAATCTGTTAATTAAATTTAAACATATAAGGTTAATAGAAAACAAAACAGAACTCATTTAACTTGTCACCTTATAGATTTGCTAATTTGTTAAAAATGACTTTTTCTACAAAGTCACAAAAATGATTATTTACAGCCATGCTGAATATTCAAACATTAAAACATATACCCAGACTGATATTCATAATTCTTTCAATAATCAGCAGCAGAACCGGGGTTAAGGAACCTTAAAAAACAACTTAAATTTTAAACAAAGGCTGACCACCTACCTGCTAACAATGGGGAGGAAGGCTCCCCGTTCAACCTGCTGAGCACTTGAGCAAAATAAAGAGGAATCAAGGAGTAATCAGATAAGGCTCAAAAGTCAGATCAATTTCTGGCCCAGAAAGCTTTGTATTCTAAGTACACTGCAAAGTCTTTATCTGCAGCAGAGTTCCAAACATTTAGTGACAACCATGCTTCAATCTTCTAGTTTTGTTATGAGAAGTTTTCCTTATAAAAGACAAGCTCTACTATAATTTAAGGCAAATGATTTGTCACTTCCTGGTTTGTAGTATCAGCACTCTTATCCAAGGCCGCCCTTCAGAATGCAGAATTGGAAGTTACACCTCACTCTACAGGTTCCTAAGCCACTCCTACTAGAAGAGGGTAGGTAAACAGGGTTTTATTAAAGAGACAGTTCCCAATTTCTTCTGTTCTACACACTGATTAGAAACAAAAAAATGCAAATGAAAATATCTTGCCTATGCTCAATTATGTAAAATGCTTATTGCAATATGATTTTAATCTCATTTTTAAAATTAAATATATTAAGGGTTAAATTTTCTTCTCCATGCTAATACTTCCTATTCAATTCTGGCAATGTCATTGCTTCTTCATCCCCCACTTCTTCAGTACTAATGTCACATCCCCATCAGACTCCTGCATTAACCCTTTACAACTATCAAGGATTGCAACTCTTGAGTACTGTAAATGGAACGTCAGGAAATGTCAAGAAGAATGAGCTATTCAGGTGGAGCAATTCCAAGAAGCAGGCGGCATATCTTTCATCACTGAAAAGTTTACATGTTGATTACTCAATAATTCTTTCCTTTAGAAATATTTTTTTCCTTTATTCAGAATAATTCCCTGGCAGGGACCTACCTGGACTATAATAAACACTATAGAGAGTCTCATCTACCAGTTCTAATTTATTTCCCAGAAGAAAAATTTTCTTCTAAATGAAAAATCAAATCTTGCCCTAATTTCTACCTAGCTAGAAACAGCTACCTAGCTGTTCCACCTAGTCTGGTAAAGTGTGTAGACATGTCAAACGCTACTTGATAGACTGCAAGGATCAACCTTTTGAGGGGAGGTAGGGTTGCTAAAATCTAATCTTTTTATACAACAGCAGAATGAGGGACCAAAGCAACACTGGAGGATACTACTCGCTCAAACTGAAGAGAGCTCACTATGGGGCTAGCTTTTACTCCCTAAAAACCAGTGCTCTTGGCATATGATGGCAGGTCTTACTGACCTAAACCGTAGATACGTATCCTCACTGTACCATGGTAACCAAATAGCTATGAGAAAAATATACATTAATTGTACCGTAAATGATTTTTATATACTTTTGCTAAATATAAAAATCCCTTATAGTAAACCACTGGATATGGAGCAGAGCTGAGCTCAGTAGGTTTAAGAGGGAAAACAGAACCTAAGACTGGGCCCAAAGAAAGTCTGGCATGCAAAGGCTGAGTGGAAGAGGAGGAAAAAAGGACAGAAAAATACAAGAGAGGTAGAGGTAGAGCAAAGTTCAGAAAGAATGATACGGAAATCAAGGGAAGAAGGTGTTTCAAAATAGAGGGAGTGTGCCATGGTGTGAAATGCTGCTGAAATATCAAGTAAGATGAACACACGTACACCAAATGCAAGTGTGCAGAGAAGTGGAGCGGCCTGGCAAGCCAGTTCACCATGACTCGGGAGGGCGGGGAGAGGAAGCCACAGAGAAGAAGGAAAGAGTCAGTGGGGAAGGGGGAAGCAGCCAGGTCATGAAGAGCCTGTATTCCACGCTAAATAGAAAAAGCCACCTACTAGTTACACATAGAAAAGCAACAAGTTCAGAAGTGCGTTTTTAAAAGATCCACTTTTAAAATGACTACTTTTTTGGTAACAACCTAAAGCAGTGGTCCCCAACCTTTTCGGCACCAGGGACCTAATGTGAGCAATGGGGCGCATCAGATGAAGCTTCGCTCGCTCACCTCCTGCTGTGTGGCCCAGTTCCTAACAGGAAGCTAACAACCATCCCAGGGGGTTGGGGTCCCCAGGTTGGGGACCCCTGACCTAAAGGACAGATTAGAGTGTTAAAAAGAGATCCGTAGGAGACTACTGTAACGGTTCAAGCTAGAAATGGTGAGGGCCTTGATGACCAACATGACATGTTGGCAAAGAAGAGGTAAGACACAAGGATGCACCAGGTTTCTGGCTTGGGTGACTGGGCAGGAGGAGGTATACTTCACTGACCAAGGGAAAATAGGTGGAGGAGTTCTGCCAACCAGAAAGGTCAACAAGAGGGAACAATATACAAATACTAATACTTCTACACTGCCAGGTTATTATATAGAATATGTGACTAAAATACTTAGCAATCTGCATTTTGTTCCTGGTAGATTTGAATACTGTACTTATTAGATTTATAGGACTACTGGAAAACGTCTAGATTTCCAAGTAATTCCAAAAGAAAGAATCATTGGAGAGGGGCTTAGGCAGTAATAA